TTAGTCTATTCCATTTAAGAACTCAGGCATACAACTTGGCTACTAAAACTAAAATGCTTGACCATGTGAGTATTAATGTTTACTAACTAATGCAAACTTTTCTTGGTTATCCATCCTCATGTGAACTAGGTTGTTAATTTTAATATATGACTCATAAGGCTATGTATGCGTTCATCTACCAAGTGATGGGTATAATGCTGACTTTTGAATATTAACTTACAGCATTTATTTGGATTTTAAGGATATGTTTCATATTTTATATGGAGTTATGAGTAACTCAATGAATATTAACGATACATTTTTCGATAAGCATGTCATCTATCGTATCCTAAGACAATAAAATAAACAGTCAACCCAATGAGTGAAATGATAACTCATTGCATTATAAGAAAGTAAAATGTCTTTTACATTTTTTTTTCTTAAGTTGGCTCATTTATTATATTTGGTTTAGGAAATAACCTAAGGATTTAAGATTGGATTTAGAATTATCTATTTCATTTGATCGAGTAGATGAGTTTGTGTTTTGATTTTGATTTTGGGTGAACATTTACTTGATTGGGCTAAGCAAATGGGCCTATAATTTTGAGGCTAGGGTGAGGAGACCATTTACTTGACTGGATCAAGTGGACCTAAGGCTCTTTTAAAGGTGATTTGAGCTTAAGAGAATTCTTAGGGCCATGAAATTTTGCATAGAGGTCAGAGAGACCTAAATACAATCCCTATGAAAATTGGGAATTTTTTTAGGAATTGTTTCCATATATATATATATATATATATTAAGAAGCCAAGTTTTCATGCATTGAATAAGGTTTAAGATAGTTCTCTTCTGTTCTTTAGCTTTAGTAGATATTTTTGGAAGCTGGTTTCACATTTATATAACTTTTTTCATTAAGATAATTAATTAATTAATTATTAAATTAACATTAATCTTAAGAAAATTTATATGAATTCTAACATTCTCTAAATTAATTGAAATTAGAACCAAAGGTCCTAAATAGCCTTTTGAACATCAACTTGGAGTTCGAAAGCAATTAGGTTTAATTTGGGTAATTAATTTAATTTTGAAGATTAATTATTAGAAAATTATTAATCTCTATTCACATAAGTTATCAGCACTTAGAAGCATTTTATTTGAAATTTTCCCATTTTTATGAGTCAACATTTTTTTATTTATTTTTCTGATTTTTTTTTTGTTATTATTTTTGGAAGCAAACAAATCATTTTATACTATTTAGTTAATTATACAATCAAACCAACTAACTATGTACTGCTATTACATGTAGCACCAACCTCTTGGATTTATTGTTCAATTGTGGGCTTGATTGCCATGTGGGTTAAGCAAGATTGATTAGAGACCATCCGATCATAGATGTGATGGTTCTAGACTTCTAGTTGAATCTGAGATGATGTAGGACATGAGGTGATTTTAATGAATGCAATGATATCTCTTCCATTGATCTAATCAAGCTAGATTGGAGGGCCTATGGTTGTTTTCAACCTCCAAGTGCTAAAAGAGATTGTTCCTATGAATGGCCGTGATCGTTGGTGATCAAAGACGATCCATAGGGTCTTCTGATTTGAAAAGTTTCAAAAGGGTTAGAGAGGAATATCCTACAGTTGGATCTACACATCATTGTACTTCTCTTTAGAAAGCCTGGAGATCTAAGGCCAATGTAAGCGTTTGGGGAAATAACTTACTTTAGAGCTTTTTTTTATGAATAGAATGAATTTAGAAGTTTTGTTTGTATGAAATGAAGCTTTGCTGAAAGATTGGCCGCTTGCCTTAGTGCCAATTTCTTTGATGACAACGTCATGGGTTTATCAAAGCTTGGTCTTCTTGCACACAAAAAGGCCTATGATGGAGAGGGAGATAGTGTCAGCTCTTTTTAAATATGGGAAAGCTTAGGGATCCAGCGAGCATGCCCAATTTTGGATGGATCAAGCCCTATTTATAGGGTTTGCTTCAGCTCGATGGGCTTAATTAGGTCATTGCTAGCTTTCCCAGCTGAAAGAACTATTAGGGAAGTTTCAATTGGGGTTTTCCAAGTGCCTAATGCAATTAAATTGGGCTAGAATAACCTGGATTGGTAGTTACACTATAAACCACCTTGTGGGTAGGGGGGTTTGGAAAGTTGGGATATCTAGCTGAACTCGCTAGGAGTGAGTCCTAGGGACCTAGCAGAAGTCACATATTGACTCAATAGGGCTTGAGAATGATTAGGTTTGTTTAATGTAATTTGCCATGTGTCGGGTCAATGGGTTGAATCACTTAGGGTAGGTTTTTTATGATCTGAAACATAATCTATCCAAATGTAAGCTTAATTGGGTTTAAACTCGAAGGAATGAGTTCATTGGGATCTTAACTTAGTAGTTATCTAGGTTCATTGGTCAAATTAATTTGACTAAGGCCTAGTTGACAAGACAGCCAACTTCACCCATATGTTGGGTTCACAAGCAAGCTAGGGTCACCTAAGGTGAGACCTAGCGCTAATTGGACCAAGGGTTAAACCAAATGCATTTCTATAAAACTTGAGCTAGGCTTGTCTTTTTGGATTTGAACTTTGGTTTTGGCCTAATTGAATTTGGATTTAATGGAGCTAACTACCTATTATAGGTTAGGTAGAAAGGCTTCTAAGTCCATTATGCTAACCAAGGGCTAAGGGTTTAGTAGTTCGTGGATGGATTGAATTAATTGAACTTATGGATTCCCTAAAGCAAGTCCTTCCTTTCATGGGTTTTGGTTTGAGTTTAAGCCTATTTCAAATTAGATTCAAATAAATTTATTTTGAATTGACTTGCTCAAGATAGGTTCCTAAGTGTCATAGGTGCCCGTCTATCTAAGCCTTAGGATCAATCTAAGGTTAAAGCAACTTAATCCAATATGCCACAATTAATGTCACATTGAATCCTGTGTTTTTTTTTTTACCATGATTCAATTGCATTATATTAAGATTACTTAACTCAGGGAATGATTCCCAATTGTGGCCTTGGCAATTTAAGGTATTTGATAGACCTAATAATACCATGAATAGGGTCAACTGGTCATTCATCACCTATGGGTTTTAATTGGGTTCAATTTTATTTGGCTTTGATTCGCAACAGCTTTAGATTAATGGCTTGTCATGAAGGTAAATTATCCTATGATTTGGCCTTTTTAACTCTAGGATTAAACTTGAGTCTAATTAAGTCACCTTAAGAGCTAGACTTGAGTCCAATCAGGACACTCTAAGTTATCTAATGGAAAAAATTAGACTTGGCTTCATTACCAAGCCTCAAAGCTAGGGTAGTGCTAAGCGTCATAGGTGATTAAGGCTAGGTCTAATTAAATGACGCTACTCTATAGGATTTAGCAAGTCACTAAATCCAATATAATAGGTTTCTTTGAGTTAGTATGCAATGGGTATGATCCAAGGGTTTGGATTTCCTATCCGAATAGCATTAGGATAGGCTAATATTCTCTTATGGGGAATCACGTAGCCAAGGGAGTTTTTTCAATTGATTTTAGTAAGATTTAACAAGTCTAGAATACACCAAGGAAGTTCTCAAGGAAGTCTAGAGCTTCTTAGGATTGTTTAGGTGGGGTTCAAGGTTTTAGGTGTTTAGGTTTTAAGTAAGATAAGCCTAAAGGGGTGTCTATCTAGGAGAATATAAATATGGTTGGGTCTACACTAGGACAATGACAACATGAGACCAAGCTAAGCTAGAACCAAATCTTGTCAACCTTATTAAAAAATGCGGTCAACAGATCTATTCAAGGATATTTGTAGAACCCAATCCATTTTTGGTATTGTTTCACGCTTATTCAAGAATCATTAAAATAGATATTTCATATTTCAATTTAGATAATCTACATGAATGACTTTTTAATGTTGATCTGTATATTTCTTACCATAATTTGTCCAATTAACAAAGTGTTATAATTGCATTGATGCATATGGATGGTTTGATATTATTTTGCTACCTCTGGATGTATTTGAACAAATAGTTGAGTTTGAATTCTTTCAAGCAAAATATTTTACAATTTGTGTGTCATCTTGAGATCATTTAACCTACACATCAAGATCAAATTTTAGATAATGCGGGCCAAAACATTTCAAGTTTGTTTACCGAAGAGATTATAAAAGGGTTGCATGGACAATGATTATGAAACACTACTTATGCACAAGATTGATGAAGTAGAATTGTGGCCAATGGATTGTCACCACCTTCATGTCCACTAAGGGATGGAGTTTCTCAAGTGCCAATTGGTCAATGTTTTTGTTTGTGACTTCATTTTGGTCTATCATATAAAGAAACTCGTTTGAGAAATGTGGTTGAATGGATGGCCATCACCTCTGTTGAATTAAATAGAGGAGTTTGACCTTGAGGGCAAGGTCATTGTGAGAGGAGTAATATTGTGAATCAACTTTAGTTAGTAGTTAAAAGTGGATTAATTAGTGAGAGTTAAGTAGCTTGAGGCATTGTATTCTATAAATACCCTCATTTAGGGAGGATGATGGTATGAAAAGAATAAATGATTTCCCCTTCTATCTAATTCTTTGTTCTTCTTCATTTTGTGAGTTTGAACAGCTCAAAACGTTCAAGATGATATCAGATTTTCATCAGTCACATACACTGTAGCTAAGGTCCCTAGCTTCCATCCACCATTAACTTTATATTAATTGGTAGTGCTAGTAATGTAGATTCTTTCGATTGGACATACAATTTTGACCAACTTCACCAATGACCCAAAAAATTGGAAAAAAAAAAAAAAAAACTCCACACATGGCCAAGACGAAGTAGGTGGGTCAACCTTTGATTGACTCGGTTGAATATCAGAGTGCATGGTAGCTTTAACATGCACTACCATATTTATTGCAAGTATATGTTTTATAAATAATTGATCACCGATTCATCTGACTTGTTTCCTAGATATGCTGCGCATACTTTGCAAGTACACACTTACATCATTGATTCAGTTTTGCAACTGCAGTTATTAAACTTGTATTTTTCTCTTGCAGAATGTTTATTCCAGTTCCCTTTGGTGAGATAATAGAAAGGTCTCCTCATGAACAAGAGGAAGTTAAGGATAAAGCAGTAACTTCAACAACAACAAAAATATTGCCACGGTCATTGTCAGCCGAATCACAGTCTGATTGGATTGAGCCCGTCATGCATCTTTATAGCTCTAAAAATTGCCAATCTCGAGAACGGGAGAAGGTTCTTGATGCATTTCGCTTATTACAAATGAATCCTTCTATTCAGGTGATGCAACTCTGACATCCTTCCTCAGGCTAGGGGTGTCAATTTTTGACATGACCCGAAATCCGATCCGGACCCCGACCCGGAAAAATCCGGTTTCAGATTGACCCGGTTAGCAAACGGGTCGGGTTCAAGTTGACCCGATTAGATCCAGGTCAACTCGGGTTCAACCCGAACCCGATTTGTTGATCCAAATTGACACCCCTACCTCAGACTATTTGGAAATTTTTTATTTATTTTATTTCTGGTGCATCATCCTTCTAAGAGTTTGCTTTGGATGTTGTAAGCTTCTTTTAACAATAAGTTTGCATGTTCATTTATGCGTGTGAATCACTTTTTCTAAAATTACCTGTGTAATTACTGTGTAAGTGTTTCTACTTGCAGAAGGTGGTTGTTTCATTGTCATCTGATAGAGCTGTATGGGATGCAGTTATGAAGAATGAGGTCGTACAAGAATTCAAGAAATCCTTTTATGAAGGTTTGTTCTCCTTATGCCATATCATGATTCTTTGCTGCTTAGCTTAACGGTAGAATCTATTAGGAACTTTCCTGTTATGATTTTTATGTAAGTAACAAAGTCTCGCATATTTGTCTTAGGATATTTCTTCAAGTAGCTATAGTGCACTTGCAATTAGTGCCCGCTATTTGGTTTTATACGAAGGGGTTCATTCAAATGAATTAGCAAGAGTGCTTTCATAACAAGATTTGTAGTGTATTTAGTAACTAAAAAGTTAAATTACAATTAGTCTAAACCCAAATTGACGTCGATTCAACTCAAATTAGGATCGACGAGGGCCAATCGACTTGACCGATTGACCGAAGACACTCAAGGGCATTCGGGCAAAAAATGAGGTCAACTCCCTTCTCCTTTCAAATTCCACCCCTCTCAATTTCAGCACCCCTTCGTTCAAGCCTGGTCCCCTCACGCCTCTCTTCATACCCTCTATATGATTCCTCCCTGGGAATAAGCTCTAGGGGAGGCATTTTCTCTTCTCCCACCAAAATCTCTACCTCCTGATCTTATATACGGCTGAAATTTGACTTTTAAAAACTAAAAATTGAGTTTGAAGATCCAAATTTTCAAATTTCAATTGTTCGATCTCCCTCTCCAACACCTCTACCTTTCTTCTCGCCATAGGTACCCAGATCAAGGCTCCAAACCGCAAAAATAATTATTCTAGTCTTCAAAAGTAGAAATTAGGACTTTAGAGGGAAAACACAGCAGAAATTGGCAAGGAAAGACATTAATTTCAGCTTGGGACATTTGATAGGAAATGCTAGTAGAAAACAATTAACCGTTGGCTGAAATTGAATTTCAGCATAACCAAAAAACAAACTCAAGGAAAATAGGGAGAAGAATACACAAATATTATTTTTATTACAAGATATATGATGAAAAAAAGCAATATACAATGGATTTGTAATTGGAGAGGAAGATCCAGCTCTCCCAAATCCCTAGCCACCGGATAGAGCCCAATCAACCTAAGAACAATTTAAATTCAGTGAATAAGAACCCCTAACCCTAGGGAAACAACCTATTAAGGGTCTGTTTGGTTGCCTAAAAAAATAATGCAGTTTAAAAGGAATACTTTGGAGTTGTTTGGATGGAATGCATGACTTTAATTTTTTTGTTTGATTTGAAGTAAAGTGAATGCAATACAAAGTGTAAAATGGTTGTGCCCAGGGTGGCTGGCGGCAGTAGATAGTGGTCGGCGACGGGGGTGGCCAGTGGCGATGTAGAAGGGCTGGCAAGGGTCATCTTCGCAGGCTGCCGCGGTGGGCCGGTGGGCAACAAGCGGCTGCAATGGCCAGCGGCGGCAAGCGGTTGCAGTGGCCGTCAGTAGTGGTTATGCAAGAAAAAATTGGTCTAAACCGTTCTCGATCAAAACGGACGAGAGCTCTTTACCTCAAAAAATGAATGATGATAGAATACACCCAAAAGTTCAAAACCCATGTATTAGGAATCTAATGCATTCATTTTTCTTTTAACCAAACAGCCTTAAAGCAAACAACAATTTTCCAAATCCCCAAACAGCCCTTCTGTATTGGTTTTGCCTCCTAACCTCTGTTTCTCCTAATCAAAATTGCTCTTGGGCCGCACCCAAAAGGGCGGGCAAACATGCCAAGCGAAAGCTTGTTTCGCGTCAAACAGACGGAAGCCTGTTCCACCTCAATACGCTAGAGCTGCTACAGGAAGGACCCGCTAGATGGTCCAGGAAGACCGTTCTAACAGCATGTTTTGAAGCCTAATATTTAGCGGATTAAATTGGGATAGCATGTATCAAACATCTTTTGTATTTTATCTCCATGTTCATTTGAGTTGCTTTGCATTAGCACTAAGTTCTTCTACCACGTGTGATAAGCTCTCAATTTCATGGCTCTAACATAATTATATCTGCCCTCTGTGGTTTTCTACACCTTATTCTTCAGCTTCTTCAAACTTTCCCTTCTGTATTATTTAATATTTTGACTTATTAATCAGCTTTAATATCAGCTGAAAGTAAGTCACAAGATCCAAATGAAGAAGACGCCCATCCTGTCAATGGAATCCTGAAATGGATCGCCGATGCGAAGGCAAAAATCATGGAAGTACTGGACAAGATTGCAAAGCACTTAAGTCAGATATTTCATTCTCATGGAGCCAAGGATGAACTTGATATTTTCGACCATGTTCTGCAATCCTCGTTTATGCTTTCTGTACTTGTCTTTATAGTTGTCGTTATGAATCGTGTTCAACAATCCTAACGGCAGCTTCAATCAGCCGACATGACAAATTTGTATCTACTTTTGAAATACATAAATAAAACTTTGTTGTTTCAGTACAAGGAATTTGAAGGTCTGTGCCATCCTGATGATTATATGTTCTTTCTCTGCAATGTGATTCGGACATTTTATTTGAAAGCAACTTCACCTTTGAGCAATGACTTGGGATGGAGTTGAGATTATAGGAGACTATTGTTCTGTGTGCGACAGCTTTCTTACTGCTTTCTAAAGCAGATTTTTAGTAAAAAAATTTGCTTTCTAAAGAGCTTTTGTTTTTTAGGGGGATGATGGGAACTGTGAGGAAAAAAAATTTTGTTACACTGATTTGAAGTTCATGTAACTCGGGGAATGTGATATGCAATTCTTAAAATAAAATTGCTTTAGTTTGTAATGAATTTGTTGTTATAATATATTTTTGTGGTAAGGAACAGTCATGTGCTGAGGGTTCAATTGCATTGAATTGGACAACAAAATGTCAGCAACAAAATCAGACTTTTATTTCACTACGTTCGATTTGCTATATGAATTTTTTTTTAGTTTTATTAAGAGTCAAAATATTAGAAGATTTAATATTGTTTTGTTATTTTACTTTATTATGATAAATAGGGGTGTCAATTTCGGATCACTGGTAGGGTTTGGGTTGAACCTAGAACTGATCTGGCACTATTCGACCCAACCTTTTTTTGCCAACGGGTCAGTTTTTTGGACTCGAACCAGACCTACCAAGTTGTTGTTCGACTTCGCTACTTCCGGTCAGATCGGAAGTTACAACATTTTGATCAGAAGCAACGACGGGAGTTTGCAGGTGTTCGCTGTGAAGGAGACGTCAGTTCCACTGCTCCATGCTCCTTCGTTGCTGTTCAACTTCGCTCTCGGTCAGAATGTCAGATCAAAATTTACAACATTTTAATCATAAGGAAGGAAGGGAGTTCGCAGTCGCTCGCTGTGAAGGAGTCGATGTGGGCTCCAAAAATTCCATAATGTGCCCCGGCCTCTTCGTGTCATATCTTTATTTCTTTTGTTGATATTGACGGCGGAGAGTTTTAATATATTTAGATTCCGGGTGAATTTTCAGAAGGCAGATTGTGTTTTAAATAAGACACTACCCAGAGATTTCAAGCTCATTTGTGATGACCTTTTGATATGAGTTCTGGTTTCCTATAGGCTCAAGCCTCTATAGTTAATTACCCCTCTCAATAATGAGAGAACTTTTGATTAAGGCTAGTCATTAAAGCGGTCGCATAGGTTATAAATCCAACATATAATAGCAACAATTTTAGGGTTTGAATTTGATTTTATTATTTGGAATTTATCACCATGAACTTAAAACTGGTGGTGGGGGGAATGAAGACGAGCCCGATCAAGATCCCATGGTTCCGTTGTCTCGGGCTGTCATGTTCCCTGGTATACTTAGTCAGAGGAGGTAGTTGACCTAACCTGACAAAAGGTACCTTATCAGCAGTCATGTGTTGATTCGTCCAAGAATACCTTGTAGACCTGGGTTGGTATTCGTCTAAGGTGATATATCTGAATCCACCTTGGCTAATATAGGGCTTTATGCCTATCAAATATACCCTATGATTCATTAAATTAGAGGTTTGAAGCCTTTAGTGTTATTGTAATATAATGGTGTCATTTTGCGGCAAAATCACCCTATCAGAGGATATAGGCCACTCCCCTGCTAGCAATATACTATTTGAGGATGAATCTTAGTGATACACCTGACACAATATTTTCTCTTTATGAGCTAAGGTTAATTTCAAATTTATCACCCCCGATAAATGGTTGTGTGAGGTGGATGTTTTTTTAGTTTTAAGTTTTCTGTTGATAGATTTCATTTTAAGAATTCTTGACTTTTATTAGATTTATGATTTGACCCCTCCGGTTGATATTTAAATTCAACACGGTCATCATTGGGATGACGTTAAAGTCACTTGTATTTTCGTAAGAATTTGGGAGCTATTTTATTATTCAAGTCAGGTCGACTCCAGTACTTTCGATGAGGATGATGAAACTTGAGTATTTAACCCATGCAACATTCTCAAACCATTGGATTTTGGACTCAGATGTGATGATCAAAGCACATGTGGGTTGTATTTAGTTTGCAAATAGAATGTTCTATTAACGAGCATTTGTCGCTTTACAACATTCTCAAACATTTTTGTTTGTAGCTTTAAAACATTTGTCGGAGCACATGCATGATATATTTAGTTTGGAAATAGAACTTTATATTAGTGAGCATTTAACCCTGCGCAACATTCTCAGACATTTATGTTTGTAACTTTAACATGTTGATCGGAGCTCATGCAAGGGTTTCACTTCAGTTTAAGGGATCATTTTTAATACATGAGGGACATTTTAAAATATTTAAATATGATCCATTTATGCAAGTGATTTTATTTAGAAAAATGCTCGAGATTTCATTTAAGGGCCTACGAACACCTTTTGACTGCTTGTACACATGTTGTAGATCTTGTGGCATTACTATAAATCAAGTTTGAGTTTGTAGTTAGTATCAGATGTAATGTAGAGCTTACGAATAGAAAAGCAAACACAACCAAGTATATTAGATTGGTATGATGCAAGCATAGGCATAATGCTTGTAATGTATTAAATTTATAGATATGAATTATCATGAGGAGGTTTTAATAGTATATGCTTTACTTACTCTTCTAATATTCTCATAGGATGATAGGTTATGAGAGTTTAAAGTTGTATATATTGAGGTTGGAAGGTTTAGCATATCCTTTGTTTCGTCACACTTGACTGAACGGTGGGTGATGCATTTGATTTGAATAGTATCAATATAAAAGAGAATAATTAGAAAACATATTGTATTTGCATTCCATCAATCTAAAATAATTTATCCAAATAGTAGTTCATTTAATTATTTTTTATTTTGAATTAAGTGATTGAATCTCCGCCAAAACATATTTTTATTGAGTAGATATTTATTGCAGTTGAGTAGATAGTACTAGTATTTGCAAGTAAAAATATTATTCTTTGTGGGATCAATACTTTACTCTATCACTATATTATTTGATTCGGCAGTATACATATGTATATTAAGTGGGGTTTTTATAATTTTTATATCAAAGAAAATCTAAGCATTGTTTAGGGGTTGATAGAGCCGATAGAGCCCTAAATCATATTCATAATTCTTTAGATTACTCCACCACCCCCATCACCTGTCGTAAGATGAATAATTTTCACAACCAACACACTGGAGAAAAAAGGATAGAAGCATCGAAACTCTTCAATAGAGAGCCCAACACCGCTATGCAGCCTTCCAATGTCGTTGTGCCACTCAATCTAGAAGCCAATAAATAGAGGCGGAAGCTCCATTGTGCTCGCCAATACAACATTATAGCACTCCCATGCAAAAATTTCATTCATGTAAGAAATTATATTAGGTTCTTATTGGGTCATTAACAAATCATTTATCTGATGACAATGAGGGTCATTACATCTTTGGCATCAATCAATAGATAAAGTTCTCAAATTCTTCAAATTGAAGAGCTTTCTCCAATTCAACATCCCTTTAAAATATAGAATGCTAGACTGTTCATATATTATTTATAGAATATTTTGGTTATTTTTCCATAATCCCAAATACTTTATCAGATGACTTAGAATGATCCACCTTAATCACTTAATATTTACGAACATTTGATTGGTTTAATGACATCAAAATTGGATGTTCTTGAGCTTATTATATTTGTCTCATTAAGATGCATGTCCTGATAATAAATTTTCTAAAAATAAAATTCTAATCATCGTAAAATAAATTTAGATGTTTCAAGTCCAAATACTTGTTTAAATTTTTTGAATCTAATGAATTTTATGGCTATGTATTGATTGCCTCTCTATTTTTGAACTTCAAAATCTTCAAGTTCAATAATAATTTGAGTATAAAAAGATCTAGTGCATGAAATAATAAATTTTAAGAGATTATAAATCATGATCACTCCCTAGCTTGGATTCATTGTGAACCTCTAATACATGCCATGAACTAAGTAAATTCCCTATAATTGTAGTTTCACTCTACATTATGCTATGTTATGTAGCATAATTTCTGCCGAAGAAAAAAATATTCACTGTGCAAATTTACTCATGAGTCAATCTTTGCAATAAGGTTATCACAAGATAATCATCGTTAAAATTTTATGCTAATCATGAGAGATATAGAGACTAATGTCGCCATGTGTCCTTGATGAGCTGATATAAAGAACATGATGAGGGTGGTCCATACCAAAATTGCTTGACATTGATTTTTTGTCAATAATTAATATATATTTTATCATAATATTTATCTATTTCTTCTTTATTATTGTAATCTAAGCTTAAGTTTTTCCCTATATTTATTTATATATATCATTATTTTTTTCAAGATTTATTGGATAAAAAAGTTCATCAAATTAAAAAACATTACAATTTTAGCATTGGGCATCCAAAAATAAAAATTCTCTCAAAAATCAAAATAATAGAATTTCATGCTAGAAGATCTAGCAGAAGAATGAAATTCTATTATTTAAATTTTCAAGAAAATATTCATTTTTGGATATCCATGATGAAATTGCAATGCTTTTTAATTTGATGAATTTTTTTATCCAATTAACAGCAAAGAAATTATAATTTTTTTTTATAGATGCTGATATCATCATAAGCTATTTTCATGAATTTTTTATGCCAAAACATTATCTTATGACAAGGTAGAAAATTAAGAAAAGCTCAACCATTTGCTGATTGAATACTTTGTCATTTTTAGGACTTATGGGCTTATTTAAATTTACTAATATGCTTTAACTATGTTTTTCTGGATGGGTAGAGCCTTCAAAAATAAGTTCAAAAAAAATTATAACATAAATGTACTCTAGAAATTTTCTCAACTGATTGTTAGTAAATTATTGCTACATTACATCAACTATCACATAAAAATCTGTGGAGGCATTACATAAGTGAGTATTCTGCTCAGTGATCCATCTTTACATAATATTTTATAATTTTACATGTTTTTATACTCGAACTATTTAAATGGTGGCACATAATGCAAAAGATATCGAATTACTTGATGGATTTAATCTGTGATGAAAGAGA